AACCAGTCCACACTCACAACACTCAACAACCAGTCCACACCCACAACACTCAACAACCAGTCCACACTCACAACAACACTCAACAACCAGTCCACACTCACAACAACACTCAACAACCAGTCACAACACTCACAACAGTCACAACAACACTCAACAACCAGTCCACACTCACAACAACACTCAACAACCAGTCCACACTCACAACAACACTCAACAACCAGTCCACACTCACAACAACACTCAACAACCAGTCCACACTCACAACACCACTCAACAACCAGTCCACACTCACAACACCACTCAACAACCAGTCACACACAAACAACACTCAACAACCAGTCACACACACAACACAACACTCAACAACCAGTCCACACACAACAACACTCAACAACCAGTCCACACACAACACACTCAACAACCAGTCCACACACAACACAACACAGTCAACAACCAGTCACACACACACAACACTCAACAACCAGTCCACACACAACACCACTCAACAACCAGTCCACACACAACACTCAACAACCAGTCCACACACAACAACACTCAACAACCAGTCCACACACAACAACACTCAACAACCAGTCCACACACAACACCACTCAACAACCAGTCCACACACACAACAACACTCAACAACCAGTCCACACACAACAACACTCAACAACCAGTCCACACTCACAACATCACTCAACAACCAGTCCACCCACAACATCACTCAACAACCAGTCCACACTCACAACAACACTCAACAACCAGTCCACCCACAACAACACTCAACAACCAGTCCACCCACAACACACACTCAACAACCAGTCCACACTCACAACAACACTCAACAACCAGTCCACACACACAACAACACTCAACAACCAGTCCACCCACAACAACACTCAACAACCAGTCCACACTCACAACACCACTCAACAACCAGTCCACACTCACAACAACACTCAACAACCAGTCCACACTCACAACAACACTCAACAACCAGTCCACACTCACAACAACACTCAACAACCAGTCCACACTCACAACACCACTCAACAACCAGTCCACACTCACAACAACACTCAACAACCAGTCCACACACACAACACCACTCAACAACCAGTCCACCCACAACAACACTCAACAACCAGTCCACACTCACAACAACACTCAACAACCAGTCCACACTCACAACAACACTCAACAACCAGTCCACACTCACAACAACACTCAACAAGCAGTCCACACTCACAACAACACTCAACAACCAGTCCACACCCACAACAACATAATGAAACATAAGAGAAAAATAATACAATAATACACGTGTATATTATAAATTTAAATACATTTAGGCATGAATATAAACACTGCAGCAACATAATGGTGGACAAGTTGTCTTAGAGGTAAATGAACAATTACAGGTATGGGCCCAGCGGAGCTCGTTGAAGCTGTTTGCGCTGAAGCATAACAGCCTGGAGGAGCCATTTAATATTTTCATGGAGTCTTTAAGCTGTCTGACCTGCCAGCAGCAGCAGCTTGGGCTCAAACCAGGGTCAGACACATGCGGGACAGGCAGCCAGGCAGCCGTCTGTGACAGACATGCACATAGTTAGGCCAGGTAGGGACGTGCAGCCATTCAGATCATGACACATAGCGGTGGTGGAGGGGATCGTCCGTGTCTGATTGCGACAGGAGCACGGTGGTAACCCAGTAAGGGGGGAGGCACACGTAACAACCAAGCCATAGCCTGTCCATTAAACACTGGAGCCAAGAGATGCCCACATACCAGGGCACCGAGGGAGGCCAAGCAGTGGCCGGGGCAGGAAAAGGGTGCACAGTGCCCAGCACAGCTCCCCTAACAAGAAAGTCCTAGTGCAGTGAACGATCTTTAACGCCAGTGACAACACTTCCGTCTCCCTCTCGCCCTAGTTCCAACACCCAAACTTACCCCCGAGAGCCGTCTGGCATTGCCAACCCTCAGGGTGCTGGCCCAATGACCCAAACTAGCACCCTCCATGCTCTCTTCCCACATACAACCCCCAGAGAGGGGCAGGTTGGGGTGCCGGGACGAGCCCCCCAATCGCTCCACAACGTTGTCCGTGACACCCCCCCCCCACCCCTCTCCTCCCCCAAACAATCCCAAACTTTTGGAGAAAACAAAAAGTTCTTAGTCATGACATCTTCGTTCTCTCTTGTTCTCTCTCCCCTGCCCTCCCCACCCCGGGCAGGGCCACTTATTCAGGGCCCAATTCAGGGGACCACGTGGTACAGCCTCCACACACACACATGGAGCCTTATAACTACTGTGGGCGGGGCCTCCAAAATGTCAGCTGTTGAACCTGCTCAAAACTTCTTTTTGTCAAAGATTATCAATAGTCCACAATTTTTATTGTTAAATAATAAAAGCAAAATGAGGAACAAGTACAGCGCCCATTCTGCCCCCCCCCCTCTTCCCTTCCTCTTTCCCTTCTATTCTGCCCTCTCCCAAAAGACAGACATATCCATTAATATATATATATATATATATATATATATATATATATATATATATATATATATATATATATATATATATATATATATATATATATATATATAATGTTATATGGTTCTTCCTCCCCTTTCTTTCTTCCCCTCTTCCCCTCCCCACAGAAGATTTATTAATAAGAAGCACATACGGATGTCCTGTACGGATCTCTCATAAAAATTATTATTACTTAGAACTGAAAACTCCATGGGACGCACGCCAAATATTTCACTACAAGAAAATTACATGGGGGGGGGGTCTCTATATATGCTAATATTTCTTAAAGTATTTAACTTAGGTCGTCTCCAACCAGCCTATGTCAGACCCGCACCCCCGACTATTTACCCTGCAAAGTTGGGTGAAGCTACACCCAGGTGTCTGGCATCAGTTTTGGACAAACACACACACATCCTCTCTTATAGATATTGATGAATCTCTGAGAGAGAGACAGAGAGCGAGTATTCCTAGACCTAGTATAGCACGTATGTGTACTATATTAGGCCTCAGACAGCGTGTATTAGGCCTAAGACGGTTAGGTCAGGTTTCATTAGCAACTTAAACTGTTTTCCGGTTTGTTTAAATGTAATAGTACCAAATTCTATTTTCTAATAGTCCATTACGTCAATATACGTACGACAGTACACATCGTTACTATAGGTACAGTCTAAACAGACAGCTGGCCCGGTGAATACACACCTGCACATCGTATAAATTGAAAATCATTCTCTCTCAAGGTCCTATATGGTGGGTGAATGACTCACCCTTACAGTGAGTAACGCAGATCCTCCCAAAACTCACACTCCGCTTCCCGCACTCAAAAAGCAATCATGCATTGAGTGCAGGACACGCCCAAACGCTCTCAGTCGTGCTGTGGCTGCACCCACCACGCGACTCGTGTGGTGGGACCGCCAGGGAGTGTAACTATATATCCAGAATTGTGATATCCAGTTGATATTCCCCCTTTAGTAACCCCTTAGGGTCTCGTAACCCTTTTGCATGTGGTAACCCCTTTGTGATTACCTAACCCAGTGATGTGTGGCAGTTCAGTGCTCTGCGCTCACTCGTATATATCCATGTTTTGTGGGGTAACCAAAAATGGGTGTTGGTCCCCTTTTATTCAATGATTGTGTGGTAACCCACTTATGGGTGTTGACCCCCTTACCCCACCCCCCCCCCTGGGATGTGTGGTAACTAATGGTGTGCTTACATATCAATGTCGAAGGGAAGCGGGTTCTAGCTCCTAGGCTCCGTCTGTCAGGAACTAGTACCGAGCTCTTAATAATTTGTCCTCTTAAAATGTGGAGGGAGTTGGCCTCGTTAAACTTTCCATTTTTTTACCACCAATTTTTCCAGTACTTTCCTCCTTGTTTACCACCAACTTTCCCAGTACTTTCCTCCTTGTTTACCACCAACTTTCCCAGTACTTTCCTCCTTGTTTACCACCAACTTTCCCAGTACTTTCCTCCTTGTTTACCACCAATTTTTCCAGTACTTTCCTCCTTGTTTACCACCAACTTTCCTAGTACTTTCCTCCTTGTTTACCACCAACTTTCCTAGTACTTTCCTCCTTGTTTACCACCAACTTTCCCAGTACTTTCCTCCTTGTTTACCACCAACTTTCCCAGTACTTTCCTCCTTGTTTACCACCAACTTTCCCAGTACTTTCCTCCTTGTTTACCACCAACTTTCGCAGTACTTTCCTCCTTGTTTAACCCCGACAATACAGTGTCGAAGGTAAACTAGGGTAAACTCTTGCAATGCAAGAGAATTGTCTTGCATTGCACTGACAAGTCTGCATTTCAAACCTCCACCTGTGACCTCTCGTCCAATTTTCTCCTCATTCATACAGTACTGCTCGTGCCCCCCCCCCCCGCCAGTACTGTGGTGAGGCTGTGGTCCCTCTTGTCCTCGTCTTGGTAACCCCGTGATGTAGGGAGCCCTCTTGTGTATGGCAAGCCTTTGTTATTGGTAATCCTGTGTGTACGGGGACTATGCAATGTATGGGGACTATGCAATGTATGGGGACTATGCAATGTACGGGGACTATGCAATGTATGGGGACTATGCAATGTATGGGGACTATGCAATGTACGGGAACTATGCAATGTATGGGAACTATGCAATGTATGGGGACTATGCAATGTATGGGGACTATGCAATGTACGGGAACTATGCAATGTATGGGAACTATGCAATGTACGGGAACTATGCAATGTACGGGAACTATGCAATGTATGGGAACTATGCAATGTACGGGGACTATGCAATGTACGGGAACTATGCAATGTACGGGGACTATGCAATGTACGGGAACTATGCAACCTTACTAGTGAAGTAAGACGCTGGATACTCAATTTTCTGTCGAACAGAACACAGAGTAAGAGTCAATCAAGTAAAATAGAGTCCAAGTGCAGTTAAAAGCTCTGTACCTCAAGGTACAGTCCTTGCACCACTGCTGTTCCTTATTCTCATATCTGATATAGACAAAAATACAAGTCACAGCTTCGTGTCGTCCTTTGCAGATGACATTAAAATCAGCATGAAAATGACCTCTGCTGAAGACATTGAAAAACTACAAACAGACATTAACATAGTTTTCGACTGGGCAGCAGGAAATAACATGATTTTTAACGGTGATAAATTCCAGGTACTCAGATATGGCAAAAATGAGGATCTGAAACATAATACAGGGTACAAAACACAATCAAATGTACCCATAGTAGGAAAACAGCATGTCAAGGATTTGGGAATAATGATGTCCGACGATCTAACGTTTAAGGAGCATAACCAAGCAAATATTGCGTCAGCCAGAAAAATGATAGGATGGATTACGAGAACTTTCAAATCCAGGGATCCCATCACAATGGTTGTACTCTTAAAGTCACTTGTGTTATCCCGTCTTGAGTACTGCTCAGTACTCACTTCCCCCTTCAGAGCAGGAGAGATTGCTGAAATAGAGGGAATACAGAGAACATATACGGCACGCATAGACGCGATAAAGCACCTAAATTATTGGGATCGTCTCAAAGCTCTCCAAATGTACTCTCTAGAAAGGAGACGAGAGAGATACCAAATAATATACACGTGGAAAATACTGGAGGGCCAGGTCTCAAATGTACACAGTAAGATAACAACGTACTGGAGTGAACGATATGGAAGAAAATGCAGAATAGAACCAGTAAAGAGCAGGGGTGCCATAGGGACAATCAGAGAACACTGTATAAACATCAGAGGTGCACGGTTGTTCAACGTCCTCCCAGCGAGTATAAGAAATATTGCCGGAACAACCGTGGACATCTTCAAGAGAAAACTGGACGGTTTTCTTCATGCTGGACCAACCGGGCTGTGGTGGGTATGTGGGCCTGCGGGCCGCTCCAAGCAACAGCCTGGTGGACCAAACTGTCAAAAGTCAAGCCTGGCCTCGGGCCGGGCTTGGGGAGTAGAAGAACTCCATGAACCCCATCAACCAGGTATCAAGCAGGTATGCAATGTACGGGAACTATACAACGCACGGTACCCTTGATGTGTAGCAAGCCATGATGTGTAGCAAGCCATGATGTGTAGCAAGCCATGATGTGTAGCAAGCCATCATATGGTCCCCCCTGCCGTGCGAGCCCCATAACACCCTCCCCTCCCCTCCTAACCCGTCAGCTGCGCATCCCGTGACCGGCCGCCATCGTCGCGGGATAATCTCCTTAATTATAGTGCAAAATAAACCTCGTTATCCATCTTGGTTCTCTTTGAATGTGATGAAACGCGGTTAAGGAAAAAAAATGGATAATGCCTTTTTTTTAACCTTCTTTCAGATGAGTAAAATATGTGGCGGGAATATGGAGATGAGAGGACGAGGAGGTCCGGAGATGGTCAATAATGTCTTGCCTGGCTGCTGTGAGGCAGTAGTCTCGCAGCCCACTGGTTACTGGGTTCGAATCCCCGGGTAGGGTGCAACCTTCGTTCACCTGGTGCCACTTTTCACTAAGCCAGCGATTTTATGTATAATTAAACAGGTTATACGAGGTTAAACAATGTAACAGCGTGTGTGTATGTATGTTTACACAGCTTCTCGGTGTATACATGCGGAGTTGATCCACTGTCGTATACATTGTGTTGAGGAGTAATGTATACTTGTTGGTGGGTCAGTAGGCTCGTGTCACAGCCTTGATGATAGGCCTCAACCCCATCTCACACACTACAGCCGAACCAGGACGTGTCAAGGGGTGTAAAGCCAGGATTGAGACCAGGCGGCCTGTGGTGGCGGGGGCTGTGGGTTGATGTGGTGGCGGGGGCTGTGGGTTGATGTGGTGGCGGGGGCTGTGGGTTGATGTGCTGCACCTCACTACTCCCCCCCCCCACACACCTCACGGTTTTATCCCAGCTTCCTCTAACCCCCCCCCCCCATACCCTTACCTCACCCCGCCTCCCTCACCTCATCTCCCTCACCCCAGAGAATAACACAGAGATAATATACAACTCCTCATAGAAATCCAACATATAGGAAAAGAAGCCCATAATCTAGGGCTGTCAATCACCCTAAATTGGATGTTAAGTCACATTGGCATAGATGGTAATGAAAAGGCAGACTCGCTAGCAAAAACTGCCGCTGCTCTACCTGTTGTACAGGTTCAAATACCTCCAAGTTTTTCACTGATTAAGGAACAAATCAAGAAGAAAATACTCCATCTATCAAAAGTCGCCACAGAGCCAAAGTAGCGGAAGGAAGATCCACTGCGATATGGTACGAACAAGCCACTGGTTACTACTCTTTCAAGTCTGACAAAAAGATATCCAGAGACATTGCAGTAGCCATACACAGACTCAGACATGGTTACAAGTGATGCTGGGAGGTAATAAACCCAATAGTTAAAGAGTGTCACATCTGTGGAAAAGAAGCAGAGGCGCCACTATTGCACAACTTACTGGAATGTGAAGCTACTGAAGCCCTGCGCATCAAACTCAACATTAATCCAACAACAGCAGCTGCATTAGATGCACATTCCACCGCGACTACAATGATTAGAACAGCCATTGAGGAATGGGACTCACTAGTGAACATTCTGCACCTACATCCGCCACCAAGATAATGTTATTAAAACATGACTAAAACAGAAGCGAAAAAGAAACAGGGAAAAAAGAGGAACCCCCCCACCTCCATTTAAAACTTTGACCCAAATATCAGAGTAACAAGGTTATCACGAATAACCGAACTCAATTACGGGCTCACCATAGCCCGTGCTACATAGACACTTCGTTCTGAGTAGCTAAATCTGAAACAACAGCAACAACCCACACCCCAGCCCACCTCCCCCACCCCACCTCCCCCACCCCACCTCTACTCATGAAACCTTGTATCACAGCCCCACAGCACCCCATGGTCTTGTATCACAGCCCCACAGCACCCCATGGTCTTGTATCACAGCCCCACAGCACCCCATGGTCTTGTATCACAGCCCCACAGCACCCCATGGTCTTGTATCACAGCCCCACAGCACCCCATGGTCTTGTATCACAGCCCCACAGCACCCCATGGTCTTGTATCACAGCCCCACAGCACCCCATGGTCTTGTATTACAGCCCCACAGCACCCCATGGTCTTGTATCACAGCCCCACAGCACCCCATGGTCTTGTATCACAGCCCCACAGCACCCCATGGCTTGTATCACAGCCCCACAGCACCCCATGGGCTTGTATCACAGCCCCACAGCACCCCATGGGCTTGTATCACAGCCCCACAGCACCCCATGGGCTTGTATCACAGCCCCACAGCACCCCATGGTCTTGTATTACAGCCCCACAGCCCCCATGGTCTTGTATCACAGCCCCACAGCACCCCATGGTCTTGTATCACAGCCCCACAGCCCCCATGGTCTTGTATCACAGCCCCACAGCCCCCATGGTCTTGTATCACAGCCCCACAGCCCCCATGGTCTTGTATCACAGCCCCACAGCACCCCATGGTCTTGTATCACAGCCCCACAGCACCCCATGGCTTGTATCACAGCCCCACAGCACCCCACAGGGCTTGTATCACAGCCCCACAGCACCCCAGGCTTGTATCACCCACAGCACCCCAAGGCTTGTATCACAGCCCCACAGCACCCCATGGGCTTGTATCACAGCCCCACAGCACCCCAAGGCTTGTATCACAGCCCCACAGCACCTGATGGGCTTGTATCACAGCCCCACAGCACCCCATGGTCTTGTATCACAGCCCCACAGCACCCCATGGTCTTGTATCACAGCCCCACAGCACCCCATGGGCTTGTATCACAGCCCCACAGCACCCCATGGTCTTGTATCACAGCCCCACAGCACCCCATGGTCTTGTATCACAGCCCCACAGCACCCCATGGTCTTGTATCACAGCCCCACAGCACCCCATGGTCTTGTATCACAGCCCCACAGCACCCCATGGTCTTGTATCACAGCCCCACAGCACCCCATGGTCTTGTATCACAGCCCCACAGCACCCCATGGTCTTGTATCACAGCCCCACAGCACCCCATGGTCTTGTATCACAGCCCCACAGCACCCCATGGTCTTGTATCACAGCCCCACAGCACCCCATGGTCTTGTATCACAGCCCCACAGCACCCCATGGTCTTGTATCACAGCCCCACAGCCCCCATGGTCTTGTATCACAGCCCCACAGCACCCCATGGTCTTGTATCACAGCCCCACAGCCCCCATGGTCTTGTATCACAGCCCCACAGCACCCCATGGTCTTGTATCACAGCCCCACAGCACCCCATGGTCTTGTATCACAGCCCCACAGCACCCCATGGTCTTGTATCACAGCCCCACAGCACCCCATGGTCTTGTATCACAGCCCCACAGCCCCCATGGTCTTGTATCACAGCCCCACAGCACCCCATGGTCTTGTATCACAGCCCCACAGCACCCCATGGTCTTGTATCACAGCCCCACAGCCCCCATGGTCTTGTATCACAGCCCCACAGCACCCCATGGTCTTGTATCACAGCCCCACAGCACCCCATGGTCTTGTATCACAGCCCCACAGCCCCCATGGTCTTGTATCACAGCCCCACAGCACCCCATGGTCTTGTATCACAGCCCCACAGCCCCCATGGTCTTGTATCACAGCCCCACAGCACCCCATGGTCTTGTATCACAGCCCCACAGCCCCCATGGTCTTGTATCACAGCCCCACAGCACCCCATGGTCTTGTATCACAGCCCCACAGCCCCCATGGTCTTGTATTACAGCCCCACAGCCCCCATGGTCTTGTATCACAGCCCCACAGCACCCCATGGTCTTGTATTACAGCCCCACAGCACCCCATGGTCTTGTATCACAGCCCCACAGCACCCCATGGTCTT